GAGAGAAGCAACTTAGAACTGAGGAGAAATTTCCTGAGAGTTAGAACAATTAATCAGTAGAACGACTTGCCTCCAGAGGTTGTGAGTGCCCCAACACTGGAGGAAGTCTTTAAAAAGATATTGGATAGCCATTTGTCTGGAACAGTATAGGGTTTCCTGCCTAGGCAGGGGATTGGGACTAGAGGACCTCCAATGTCCCTTCCAACTCTGCTATTGTATTCCTGTATTCTAGTGAAGGACTACTTGTATAAGGCTATTTTCCATCCATGAAGTGGCACTTGAATTTTCCTAGAATATGATCAAGTAAGGGACAAAAATAGGAAAGGTTTTTGTTTTATTTACCAAAATAAAATGTCATTTTTTAAAAAATTCAATTCAACATAAAGTTTGTCATAAAATTTTGATTTATGCCAATTTTTGAATTTTCAAATACTGGCAGGACAATACAAAATTGGAAAAAGACATAATTTATCAACTAACTTGTAATTTATCATAAGCTAATCGGATTTGTTGCTAAACAGAGGAAATACTGTCTGTTCCCAGCTTTCATCCCAGCGTTGCTGTTTGGCCTGGCGAAGATTTCTTCGGAATAGAGCAAGTTGGCTTTCCTCAGCAGGAAATTCACCGAAAAGCATCTGTAAGGCAAAACAAAAAACAAAACAAAAAACACCATGATAAAAAAGAATGCTATGCATTGAGCAGTGTGGTGGATGAAATGTGAAACCAATCCAATACGAGTAGCATTAAGATCAAATTAAGAATAAATTTCCTGACAGTTACAACAATTAACCAGTAGAACAACTTGCCTCCAGAAATTGTGAATGCTCCAACACTGGAAGTTTTCAAAAAGAGATTGGACAACCATTTGTCTGAAATGGTATATGGGTTCCCTGCCTAAGCAGGGAATTGGACTAGAGGATATCCAAGGTCCCTTCCAACTCTGTTATTCTATTCTATTCTATTCTATTCTATTCTTATTCCATTCTGATATTCTATTCTATTCTGATATTCTATTCTATTCTATTCTGATATTCTATTCTATTCTATTCCATTCTGATATTCTATTTTATTCTATTCCTATTCCTATCTCTATTCCATTCTGATATTCTGTTCTGTTCTATTCTATTCCGTATTCTATTCTGTATTCTCTATTCTATTCTTTTCCTATTCCATTCTGATATTCTATTCTATTCCATATTCTACTCTACTCTATTCTGTATTCTCTATTCTATTCTTATTCCATTCTGATATTCTGTTCTGTTCTAATCTATTCTATTCCATATTCTACTCTACTCAATTGTGTATTCTCTATTCTATTCTATTCCTATTCCATTCTGATATTCTATTCCTATTCCTATTCCATTCTGATATTCTGTTCTGTTCTATTCTATTCCATATTCTACTCTATTCTGAAATTCTGTATTCTCTATTCTATTCCTATTCCATTCTGATATTCTATTCTATTCCTATCCCTATTCCATTCTGATATTCTATTCTGTTCTGTTCTACTCTACTCTATTCCATATTCTACTCTACTCCGTATTCTCTATTCTATTCTATTCCATTCTGATATTCTATTCTATTCTATTCTATTCTATTCTATAATTTGTGGAAAAATAACACTGAGAACTACTAAAATGATGAAATTGTATCATTAAAATATAAGGATTATGAAAACTATAGTATAGGGAGTCCTCAACCTACAACAACTCATATAGTGACCGTTCAAACTTTCAATGGCAATGAAAAAAGTGTCTTACAACTATTTTTTACACTTACGACCTTTGTAGCATCCCCATGATCACGTGATCAAAATTCAAATGCTTGGCAATTGATTCATACTTATGACTGTTGCTGTGTCCCAGGGTGATGTAATCCCCTTTTGAGACCTTTTAACAAGTAAAATAAATGGAGAAGCCTGATTCACTTAACGGCTGTATTACTAATTTATCAATTGCAGTGATTCACTTAACAACTGTGGTGAGATGGGTCATAAAATGGGACAAAACTCACTTAGCAACAGAAATGGGCTCAATTGTGGTAGCAAATTAAGGACTACCTGTACAGTTTTGTGCGGTCCAAAATTGTGCTTTGCAAATGTTAATAGATTTAAAAAAAAAAAGCTATGGAAAAACAGCACAAAAATCACACAGCATCACACGAAAACCCAGTCCTTCAATTTTCTTAGTGTAGATTTTTTTTCTCAAGAGGAATTAAATTTATTTACTAGAACGGCAATTCTATTAGCCTCCTAATTGCACCCCTCAATATTTAAAGGTTTTGATCGATGCCAGATTCACTGCTTTAGAAAAGGTTTAGAAAGGGCTGTAATCTCGACCTTAGCAAAATGTATTGTTAATTAATTAATTCTCAATTATTGCAATTAAAAAAAACCTAGCAAAACTCTTTGAAAACTGAGAGGGTCAAGGAGAAAATTACTGGATCACCGGCATACAACGATAAATTGGTATGCCTATGGGCTAGCTTAAGAGGATGGAAAGTGATATTGCATAGATGAGGCCCCAGGGACTTTATAAGATAATTAAATATACATTTAACTCCTCTCCTTGCAGGTATTTAGTAAAATGTCCTTGCATGCTACATCTCTTTCAGCCTTACGTTCTTGTGATATTTAAATCTATCAAAGAATGTTTACAGTCTGTACCACAGATTAGGTCTACAGATTACATCAAATACAAATTTAAAATCAACAAAAGTTGCAAAATGAGATCAGCCAGGTCTAGGAATACCTGCCATCTTAGCCTAAAAAGATCTGACTTCCTGAAGCAGCAATTAGGATAATAAAGACAATAGGAGCCATGGTGGCGGGGTGGTTAGAATGCAGTTCTGCAGGCAAATTCTGCCCATGGTCAGCAGTTCAATCCTGACTGGCTCAAGGTTGATTCAGCTTTCCAGCCTTCCGAAGTTGGTAAAATGAAGACCCAGATTTTTTTGGGGAAATATACTGACTTTGTAAACCGCTTAAGAGAGGGCTGTAAAAGCACTGTGAAGCAGTATATGTTATTGCCCTTCCTTCCTTCCTTCCTTCCTTTTCCTTTCCTTCCTTCTGTCCTTCCACCGTGCGTAGTGGTTAGAATGCAGTTTTGCAGGCTAATTCTGCCCACAGTCAGCAGTTCAATCCTGACTGGCTCAAGGTTGATTCAGCTTTCCAGCCTTCCAAAGTCGGTAAAATGAAGACCCAGATTTTGGGGAGGAAATATGCTGACTTTGTAAACCGCTTAAGAGAGGAGCTGTAAAAGCACTGTGAAGCGATATGTAAGTCTAAGTGCTATTGCTATTATTTTTTTCAAAATGGGACTTAGGGAAATATTGGATCAGTGGATCATCTCAAAATCAGCACCATAAGATGACAAGTTGTAGGATTATCAAGGAACTGCTCACAGAAGAAAACCATGATTGGTGCTAGACATCCATTCTCAGATTCAAAGGAAGTTGAGAAATACTGCAGAAATACTGCAAGCCAAAAAGTAAAGAATGGAGTGAAGTGAAGTGCAGTGCAGTGGATTGGAATAATAGGAATAGAAATAGAATAGGAATAGGAATAGGGAGTGAAGTGGAGGCGTAGGGTAGGGTAGGGTAGGGTAGGGTAGGGTAGGGTAGGGTAGAGTAGAGTAGAGTAGAGTAGAGTAGAGTAGAGTATTTTTCATTGGCCAAGTGTGATTGGGCACACAAGGAAATTCTCCGGTGCCAAAGCTCTCAGTATACACACAAGCAACAAAGTGATAAATCATAAGATTCAACCATTATGTAAACGATTCAAATCAAACACTATCAAGAACTAATCTGAGAAGCATCCACAAACCTTCAGCTGTTCCGCAAGTTCACTCCAGTCCTTAAACATCAAGCCGTTCACTTCGTGTTTCACCAGTTCGTGCAAACTGCAAAGAAATTGGGGTGCATAAAAAGATCTCATTAGTAGCTATGGGGGGCGGGGGAGGGCAGAAAATCAATCTGCAGTATGGAAGGCCTTTCTGGATCAAAAGGAGGGTGCCTGGAATTGTGCAAAGGAGTCCGCACTTGATTTCTGCATGCATATTGCGTAGCGGGTCCTTGTTATTTCTGAACACGGAAGCAGGACTCGGCACTCAACAGAGCAACCGCCAATCCGATTTTTTACAGTCTGGTGCATTCCGGTGTGGATTGGAATACTGTATTTTTCGGGGTATAAGACGCTCCGAAGTATAAGACGCACCTAGCTTTTGGGGAGGAAATTGCTGCCTCCCAGCAATTTGCCTCCTTGCAGCAAACGGCCAACAGCCTGGTTCACTTTCAGCACAGCCTGATTAGCACAAGAGCTGATCGGCGGTTGGATCGGCCTCCTGACCATCAGCTGTTTCAGGCTGCAGGGATTGCCTTAGCCTATTGTCGCCTCCGCGAGCCCCATTTTCCACCTCCGCATCCCATTTTCAGCCTCCGTGTCCCCCGTTTTGGGCTTCCGCGCGCCACATTTTCCGCCCATTCCAATCCCCACCTCCTGGAATGGGCGGAAAATGAAACTTTTTCCTCTTTCCCCTTGGCAGTTGATGGCTGGGCAACCTCTTGTTGTGGGCCCCTCTCTGGAATGGACTGCCTCCTCCCTGGGAAACTGTGGTGGTGCTGCTGAAATTTTCCTCCAGCTCTTCTCCAGCTACACATTCCATCCCAGCTGGCATTTTGTGTATTCCTTGTTTACAAGAACACGGTATTCACTGGGAGAGGCGGAGGACAGGACGACACGGCCCTTACCATTGAAATCGTACTGCGCACACGGGCAAGCAACAGCCGAACATATCTACCACTTTCATCGGTAAATCTAAACCGCTGGAGGATTTATGAAGACAAACCCCTAAATCGGCTGAGCCTGTAAGAGAAAAGGAAGGGGAGTTCAGTGGATACAGAACTGCTCAATCAATCAGAACAGAGCTGGAAGGGACCTTGGGGGGGGGGGCTTCTAGTCCAACCCCCTGCTCAAGCTGGAGACCCTATGCAATTTCAGACAGGTGGATATCCAGTCTTTTCTTTAAAACCTCCAGTGATGGAGCTCCCACAACTTCTAGAGGCAAGCTGTTCCACTGGTTAATTGTCGTCACTGTTAGGAAGTTTCTCCCTAATTCTAGGTTGCTCCTCTCCTTGATTAGTTTCCATACAGTGTTTCTTGTCCTGCCTTCTGGTGCTTTGGAGAATAATTTGACTCCCTCTTCTTTGTGGCAACCCCTCAAATAATGGAATATTGCTATCATGTCTCCGTTACTCCTTCTTTTCTCTAGACTGGCCATACCCAATTCCTGCAACTGTTCTTCAGATGTTTTTGTCTCCAGGCCTCTAATCATCTTAGATGCCCTTCTTTGCCCTGTTTCCATCTTTTTAATAATTTTCTGTGTGGCAAAAGGAGTGGCTAATGCATTTTACAAATAAAGAAAGAAAGAAAGAAACACAGCAACCAACCAACCAATAAATCTATTTAGTATCATCCTACAAGAGAAAAAACAAAAATGTTCTTGCCAAGCAACAGGGCGTAGTCTTCCGCTTCCAGCCACGGGGTGCAAATCTGGATATGGTTAAAGTGCAGAGAAGCTATCAGCTTGGTGTAATGGTCCTTCAGAGGTCCTTTGCCTTTCATAAGAGAAACACACATGTAAGGAAAAATTACCAGAACAGAATATTTGTAGCTCAGGGTTTAATTGAGGGGTCCTTGGCACTCTCTGAGCTTGGAGGTTTTTTTGCAGATGTTTCGTTACCAAAGTAGGTAACATCATCAGAGCTAGTAGGGAGTGGGGTTTGCTGTTGTTTCATATGCTAGTAGCTTGTCCTATCAGTGTTGGGTGGGAGTGATCTTGGTAGGTCCTTGATTGGACTGTTTAATTATTCACTTCTTTGTCTAAGTTGGCAGTTCCTTGATTGGGATATTGATTGTTGGTCTAATGTTTAATCTTGGTGTTAATCTCTGCTTATTTAGTTGTCAATTGCTGGTGAGGAGGTGCTTTGATCTTTTTGTTCCTTTTTGGTTTGTTGATTGTCTTTTTTGAATGGTATGTAGTTGTTGTTTACCTCTCTGTGCCTGTTTATAGCTGATTTATCAGAGTGCCAGGCTGCTGGGAATTCTCCAGCGTTTTTGGAATTGGCTTGGTCTAGGATGCTCAGTTTCCCAGTTGAAACAATGGTGAAATCTGCCCATGGGTTGTGAAAGTAACAATTTTTGTCATGTCTTCTGACTGCTACTTGGTGTTCATGGAGGCACTCGTGAACTGAAAGCAAACCCCACACGGTGATGTTACCTAGTTTGGCAGTGAAATGTCCGCCAGGAAACAACCAACCTCAGAGAAGACTAACTAAGGAAAGGCCCTTCTTCAAAAGGATTGTGGGACGAAGCAACAACTTTGTATCATTTTTATGACCTGGTGTTATAAATGGTTCCACCACAAATCTGCGAAGCCCTTATCCGCGGAGACATAAGCGTGAAGACTAATTCGCGCCGTTCTAAGCGCTAAGGA